TGGGGTGTGCCCATCTTTCTCCTCACCGGACCACCAGAGCTCCCTCCATAATCCAAGCCAGTTAAATGTAAAAGGATTAAGGATACACTGCAAGGAGAATGTCCTTAGGGGGTGAGCAACACCTGTTATCTTATAAGAGATAAACGAAGGTTGATGGTCAAGGTTGATGGTCAGAGAGGGGAAAACTCTGATAATACAGAGAAAGAAGATCTAGAAATGGTACATGGAATTTGGATCCAGGGTCCCTATGTGGAGAATCTCTTGGAAAAAAAATTGATACCAAGACAGAAGGAATGCCAAGGCTGTATGTGTTGAAAGGAGACAAGGACTTTTAGAACCAACAGAGAGAAAGCCTTCTCCTAGAGCCAGTGCCCTGAATTTCTACTGCTAGCCTCCAGAACTGTGAGAATAAATTTCTGTTTGTTGAAGCTGTCCACTTGTGGTTGGTTTGTTTGGGTTTGTTGTGCTTTTTTTGGGGTTATTTTTTGGTTTTGTAGCAGATCTAGCAGAGTAAGACACTGAACATAATGTTTTCAAGATGCATCTGTATCATAGCACCCACCAGGACTCCATTTCCCTTTATGACTGGGTAATATTCTACTGTATGAATAGACCACCCCATATATCTCCATTCATCTGTTGATGGGTACTTGGGTTTTTTCTCCTTTTTGGTTATTGTGGATGGTGTGGATTGAACACTGGTATACAAGTGTCTGCTAGAGATCTTGTTCTCATGTATTTTGGAGAGATAACCAGAAGTGGAATTGCTGGCTCGTAAGGTAATAATTCTAGGGAGCTCTGGTAGCCTAGTGATATGAAACTATGCTACAGTCCTGAAGGTACATGGTTCAAATCCCCCAGCTGCCCCACAGGAGAAAGATGGGCCATCCCCTTCCATGCAATTGAAGTCCCTCTGAAAACCTGCTGGAGGATCAGCAATGGGTCATTTCCACCTCAACAGTACACAGCGGAGACATCGTGGTCGTTCCGGGTGACCACCAGACAGCTTTCCACAGCTCCCACACCATTTCCTGTGCCTTCCAGCAGCGGATGAGAATTCCCATTTCTCCACGTCCTTTACAGTACTCATTGCTTTTGGTGGTTTTTTGTTTGTTTTCTTTTTATAGCCATCCTAGTGGATGTGAAGTGGAATCCTATTGTATCCGTGGGTACATTTTGAATGGTTTTATAAGTGCCTTCCTGATCCTCTCACTTGTATCTCTATCCTTTCAAGCTGAAACTCCTTACTTTGCATGTTTAAGAAAGTAAGACACCACTCAGGATCAGGATTCCAAAAAGCCTCAAACTCACTGTCACTTGGTAGACCCTACCCTATTCCAAGATGGCTGCATGTGAACTTGACTGATGACACTGACTGGGACCCTATATCCTTGTCTGAGAGGTGCATGTCAAGCCCTGGTCTCGGGTACTTCTTGGTCTTGTCACTGGTGCACTCTGTACTCTAGAGGGACGTGTGGCACTCTGAGACTTCCTGGGAATGATCAGACCCTTCTGTCTCCTTTGTGGGGGGGAAGAGTCACTACCTGGGAGTAAAAAGAGCAAGGGCCACGGTGGGGGCGGGGGTGCCAGCCATATCTAAGCTTTACCAACTTTTCAAAGGAGAACTGTCCCTGTCAACAGTATCAGTAACACAAAATCAACTCCCATGAGGTCAGACATGTCCCCCATGCTCCCATATCTCTATCTACTCATCTCAACACCAAGCTTACTATAGATCACAGATGACAGAACCATATTTGGGAAGTCAAAAGGTTATAATCCAGATTGGTAACAGAATACAGTTAAGACAGCTTCCAAAATGTGCGTGCAGGCATGAGACTTTGGCCAGTGTTTCCAAGTTCTCAGTCCTGCCAATACTGGCTTCTCACTTCAAATTGTCCAACAAAGTTCTCAGTCTTGCCAACATTGTCTCTCCCTCCAACAAGGTCTCATCTTATGTCTCCAGTTTAGCTATAGATGTAGCTAGAACAGGAAAAGTGTCACACATTGTCTTGCTTTTTCTTCAATGGCACCAGAAGAGGTGTCTCCCCCTTGCTGCTATCTTGCTCAATTCAAGAACAAGACTGGCCAATCCCCTTTATAAATAGACTAACAGGCCCCGTTCACATACTCCCATCCATCTACATAGCAAAATCAAACAATGGCTAACAGAAGTCATATTTAAAGACAAATTCCACACCTACTGACTCCCCTCACTCTCACATCCATGCACACTAAAGGAATTCTAGTGCAGATCCCTGGATCCTCAGTATCACAGATGACAAAAGTTTATATCATGGGGAGCTCTGGTGGCCTAGTGGCAAGGAGCTGCAACTACAATCCCAGAGGCACACGGTTCGAAGCCACCAGATGCTCTGCCGGGGAAGGAGGGACAATCTCCTGTACCAGTCAGATCTGATTTGATGGTACACTCACACAAAAATAATAAAATTTTAAAAAAATTAAAAAAAAAAGTTTATATCATGTGACCTTGTTTGGACTTAGGGTCCTTGTCAGTGTTATCAGTCAAGTTCACATGTAATCATCTTGGAGTAATAGTTTGGAATCTAGTGGATGACAGTGAGCTTTGATGTTTTGTTGAATCCTAACCTCTTTTGAGTGATCTTACAAAAGGAGAGAGTGACACAGAGACAGTCACACCCAGGGGAAGGACAGAGACACTACAAGCTGCAAGGAGCACCAAGGATTGCCATGGGCACCGGGAGCTGGGGGAGAGCAGGTCCTGTCAGCCCCCTGAAGGAGTCAGCACGCCCCCAGCCTCATTCAGACTTACAGCCCCAGAACTTATCAGCCACCCGCGCTGTGGGGTTTGATTCCGACAGCACTGAGAGACAGAGATGCTAACGGAGAATCAATGAGAGCGTGTTCCAGCATTCCAAAGCAGGTCTGCCACTGAGGAGAAATGACACAGGGACTCTGGCTGCTTGAAGTCTTTGCATCCCTGCTTCCTAAGATCAGACTGTCCAGCGGTACCCAAAAAGGCACCCAGGCAACAGTGTGGTGCAGCCTTGGCAGAGCTCGGCCAGGTTTTGCTGAAGCCCGGGTGAGGCCGCAGTGGCAGGTCCCCCAGTCAGTGACTTCCTCAGGTTGGCAGCAGGAGCAGGTGCTGTGCCAGATGCCGAGTAAAGAGAGTGCGACTCCATGTCCATCATCTGGTCACCCACATGTGTGCACAGCGCCCACTCTGGTCCATACATCCATCCAGGCAAAGGGCAGCATCCCGCCCCCACTCTCTCAGCCTGCATTCTCATCAGGTGCACAGACCACAGAATAAGTAAGGAAAGCATGTTGTGTCTTGGAGGTAGTACATGCCTTGGAGATAAACAGCAGGGCAGAGCTGGGATGTCTCAGGAAACCTTGCTGACAGAGGATGTTCAGAAGACTCCTGAAGAAGGGGGCCTTGCAGCAGATGCTCCAGATCCTGGAGACCAGGTGCTGGGCTGTAGTGACAGACACCTGAAGGCTCGGCGCAGGGTGGGGCTTTGTTGGAGAGTGTTGTCATCATTCCTGTTTGGCATACACCTGAGGGGTGGCGGGCCTGCCGTGGCTCCAGTTGGAATTCCAGCTGCACAGGAGGAAAGCATAGCTTTCTTTTGCTATTTTATTTCATTTACAGTGAGTTAAGGGATCTTCTCTAGGTGGTACAGAGAAAAAAGTATTCATCAACAACCTGCCTTATGCAAATGACACAACCTTGCTTTCTGAACGTGAAGAGAACTTGAAACAGCTTGCTGCAGAAGATCAAAGACTATAGCCTTCAGTGTGGATTACAAGTCAATGCCAAGAAGCCAAAACTTCTTAATATTCAGCCAATAAACAACATCATGATAGATGGAGAAAAGATTAGTGTTATCAGTGATTTCACCCTTGCCACCAGCAGTCAAGAAATCAAAAGGGGTAAATCTGTCAAGGCCTTGCTAAGATGTTAAGGAACAGTGTTGTCAGTTTAAAGACTAAAGCACATTTGATTCAAACTATAATCTTTTAAGTTACTTGTTATTCATCTGAAAGTTGGACAGTGACTAAGGATGACAGAAAAAGAATCTATGCCTTTGAGTTGTAGTGTTGGAGAAGAGTACTGAATATCCCATCAACTGCCAAAAGAACAGACAAATATGCCCTGGAGAAAGTGCAGCCAGGGTGTAAGAGGCCAGGATGGTGAAGCTTCATCTCACGTATCTTGGACTTATTTCATACTTGGAGAGGTTGAGGGTCCAATAAAGAGCGAAAGACCTTCATCGAGATGGATTACCTCAGTGACTGGAATAGTGGGCTCTGATGTGTCAGACATGGTGAGGATGGCACAGGAGAGGGCTAGGTTCAGATCCATTGTTCATGGATTCTCTATGAGTCATTTATCAACTGACACCAACAGCAGCACAACACTAACGCTTAATAATATCTACCAGCAACAGCTACTAACTGAAACGTTAGAGGGTCAAGTGTACCCATAAGTACCTGAGAAAGGCCTGGTGATCTGCTTCTAAAAGATCACACCCTTTGAGTGGCATTTCGGGAGTACATCGGGTTTCTACTGAGGTCCCTTTGGGTGGACTTGAAGCTCCAACCTTTTAGTTGGAAGCTAAGTGTGTTTCCCATTTGTACCACCCAGGTACCCGCATCATTTTAACACATCCCAGCACTGTGACAGCAGGCAGCCCCACACCTCACACAGTCCTGCTGGTGGTATGAAAAGACCTGTGAACACCTTAAAGCGTAGCTCTGGAAAGAACACCCCCACTTTTTGTACCTGTGTTGCGAATACCAGTGTTTTATTAAGGGACAGTCTTTGTTAAACACACCTATCCTTTCTGTAGTTGTGGATAGGCATTAGTGAGAGCTGCCCAGGCACACACAGAAAGTCAGGCCTCTGTGTGCATGTGTCTAGCCCTCCTCCCCCACCTCTCAGCCCCCAGAAGCATCTCAATATCTTGGCCGTATGTGGAGGGTTGTGTCTGATGTTTTCACTTTGCTCTTAGGAGAACTCACACAACCACAGCGACTACAATGATGATTTCAAGCAGCAGGTGCTGTATAAGGAGGACAAGCCCCAGGTGCCCCTGGAGTCAGACTCCGTGGAGTTCAACAACGCCATCAGCTACGTCAATAAGATCAAGACCCGCTTCCTTGACCACCCGGAGATCTACCGCTCATTCCTGGAAATACTGCACACGTACCAGGTAGGGCGGCGTCCACTGAGCACTGGAGGTGATCAGTTTCTTGTCTTGATCATGAAATCTTGTGAGATTCTGTTTTGCTTTGTTAATTTGCCTCTTGAGGCATCTGTTGGCAGGGAAGACTAAGAAATAAACTTTGTTCTAAGTAAACCGCATAAGATAAAAATTTTATTTAAAAAATAAATACACTTTGTTGTTGTCATCGTTAGCTGCCTTTAAGCTGGTGCCTGACTCATGGTGGCCCACACGTAGCACAGCAGAACTCGGCCCTGTACTGTGCTGTCCCCAGCAGCTGTGTGGATCAGCTGTTGTGCTTGGTTTTCCTTGGCTGATTTTTGTAAGTTGGTTGCCAGGCCTTTCTAGCCTATCTCGTCCTGAAAGCTCAACTGAAACCTGTTCAGCAAAGTAGCAAACAAGCTGCTGACAGATGGTGATGGCTACGCACGGCCAAGAGTCAGACCTGCTCTCCATGGAGAGAGCAAGAATTGGAGCACCAAACCACCGCTTCCCCCACGTCCCAGATGGACACCTACAGGCTGCTAAGAACTCTGGCACGGGGACACCTTCTCATTGCTCTCTGTTTGATGTGCTCAGTTAGTAAACAAAGACTGGCACTTTGAGTCCACCTGGAAGTGCCTTGGAAGAGAAGCCTGGCAATCAGTTTTTGAACAGTCAGCCATCGCAAACCCTTTGGAGCGCAGTTCTGCTCTGCGCAGGTGGAGCTGCCCTGTCAGGCCTCAGTCCATGGCAGCATATGTAAGAGTCGTTTGTGTTCTTCTCGGAATGGCTTTTGCTCTTTCCCATTTGGAAAAGGTATACCAGGAACTGAGAGACAAGTGATCTTTTCCTTTTTAAGCAAGTGTTCTGTTGTTGTTGTTGTTGTGTACAGTCAAATCGGAACTGACTCTCCACCAGGTTTTCAGAGGCACTTAATTTAATTGTATGGGAGGAAATGCCCCTCCCCCCTTCTCCTCTGGAGCAGCTGATGGATTCGGACCACGTGCGTTCAGGATTACAGCACACTTCCTTAAACAGGAGGCCACCAGGGCTCCCTAAACAAGTGTTAAAATAAACATACAAGCTCTACAAACTCTATAAATGTACAGAAATGATGTTAGTTACAGAACAGAGTTCAGGTCTTTTGTGCAAAGCTTAATCTCAGTCATATTTGACTTGACAACACTTAACCACTGCTAAATTAAACTGGTGCTGTTTCTATCTGGAGGAACACTCTTCCACTTTGTAAATCACTGTTTGTCAGTGTGCAGTATGAAGTAACCTGGGTTGCTGTGATGCTGAACTTTGTACCATTGGGGTATCAAATACGAGAATGTTTTCCCAATGTGGACAGTGTTTGGTGGAGGTCCCAGCTGTAGAACAGGTTTGGAAGCAGGAGTGGCATCCACTTCCTAAATCACATGCCGCTGGAAACTCTATGAACTTGGAACTGACAATCATTATGGAAAGGCATTATATCTTTTGTTCATAGAGTCGCTGTGAGTCACACTTGACTCAGTGGCAATCAATAACAACAACAGGCTAAAATACATATTAGTATTTTACCAGCCAGCTTGTATTTCCTGACATTCTCCTGTTCAGGGGATGGGGACATCGTTGTCTCCTCATTCCTCGATGCCTGTAGTTCAGGGTTTCACTAGGTGGCTGTGGACTGTGGAATCAGGAACTGGGAGGGCCGTGATGCTGCCACGCTTGCTCTGTCACATGCTCTGGTGTAAGGTTGATACAGTTTCCATGACCGAAACCCTGTTGATGGTTCCTGCCTCCCCTGGAGTCGGCATCTTGTTCCTTCTTCTCTGGGTCAGCCTGTAGTCTCCCTTCCGCCGGCCCTCAGGTGACAGAGTCTGGAGGGCCCCTCCTCCCCTGTCCCTCTCCTCCCTCCTAGGCCCAGTGCCAAATCCATACCCTCTCCAGTCAAAATTGCCACCCATCCTGGCGTCCCAGGGCCCGGGCCTTGTACAGCCCTGCATGTCCACCCCCTGCATTCATCAGCCTGCTAAGGCTCATCTGGACCCCCCCTCAAAACTCCAGAATCAAGATAGCAGTCCGCGGTTGTCCCCTGTGGTGAAGATCTGGCCCAGGCATCGTGTGGATGGGGGCAAGGCCTCAGGGAAAGCCCACCACACTTCTGTGTTCTGTGAACTGCCCTTCGTGCCATCTCCAGGCTCAGTGAGCATGGCAGTGCCTCTGTCCTGGGGTAACCTCGTGTCCTCTCTCCCACTCTCCGCAGAAGGAGCAGCTGAGCACGAAGGGCCGGCCATTCCGAGGCATGTCTGAAGAAGAAGTCTTCACCGAGGTGGCCAACCTCTTCCGGGGTCAGGAGGACCTGCTCTCCGAGTTTGGCCAGTTCTTGCCTGAGGCGAAACGATCCCTGGTAAGTGTAACACCCTCCCCACAGGCCAGGTGCTCTGAGGTGACGGTCCCTCGACAGGCAAGGAGGCGAGGCCAGGTTTGGTGCTCTTGGGAACACGTGTCTCCCCTCCAAACCTCCAGGAGCATAGACGCCTGGGTTCCTCCTCACAGGCTCCAGGTGCCCCTGTGTCCAGATTAAGCCTGGATATTGGGCCTCTGATGGCCCAGAATATCTTCCTAACAAGCCATAACTAGATCGTATTGCTTCAGGTTAGCCTGCCGGTGACCTGTGACCACAGCCCCTCTGGAAGGTGCAGGAGGGGAGGACCAGGACTCCACCACCCCCTACTGGGCAAGGCTGAATGGTCTTGTGTTCTAACAAGTTGAAGCTGGACAGATCAAAGTTGGGCTGAAATAGGACGTGACTTGACCCACGTCATGTTATTATCAGGTGCCTCATATGTTTGTGCAAGTTGGACAGTGAATAAGGAAAACCAAAGAATGAAAGCATTTAAACTTTGGTGAAAAGTATTGGATATACCACAGACTGCCAAAAGAGCAAATAAATCTTATCTTGGAAGAAGTGTTTCTTGGCGGCAAGGATGGTGAGACTTCTCGTATGCTTTAGGCATGTTATCAGGAGAGGTCCGGCCTTGGGAAAAGTAGAGGGTTCCTGAAGGAGGGGAAGGCCTTCAACAAGATGCACTAACGTAAAGACCGCCGCAGGGGTCTAGGTACACAAGGATTGTGAGGATGGGGCGGGGGTAGGGCAAGGTGTGGATCTGGGTGGCTGTGAATCAGTCCACTCAGCGGCCCTTCAAAACAGTGCTGGTGACCATCTTTTCATGTGCTTGCTGGCCACGTGTTTACCTGTTCAAGTCCGTTATCCATTTTTAAATGTGGTGGTTTATCTTTTTATTCTTAAATCGTACGTGTGTGTGTGTGTACCCTCAAATCAGATCTGACTGGTACCAGAGGAGATTGCCCCTCCTTCATCAGTATAGCATCTGGTAGATTTGAACCACATACCTCTGGGATTACAGTGCAGCTTCCTGCCACTAGGCCACTGGAACTTCCTAAAATCATACCTTTTTTACTATTACTCTGTCATGAAAACAAGACCTTTTCTGATGCGCTTTGCTGTGACAACAGTGAGATGCTCTTCTCCTAACTGAAAGGTCAGCAGCTTGAACCTACCTAGTGGTACATAGGAGAAAAGACCTGGCAACCTCCTCCTGTAAAGGTTATACCCTTGAAACCCATGGGCAGTCTGCCCTATACTGTACAGGTCACCATGAGTGGAACCTCATTGTTTTGCCTGTGACTGTCCAGGTGTCCCAGCACTGTTGGTTGAAAGGGTCTCCACTGGAGGGACTTGACCCGACTTTGAAAACCGGTGGGTGCACGTACTTGTTTCTGGATTCCTGATTCTATGTCATTGATCTTTGTGTCTGTCTGGATGCCAGCCACACACTGTTTGATGGCTATAGCTTTGAAATTGCAAAGTATGATTCTTACTTTGGTCTCTTCCCACATTGTTTTAGCTGGCGGTCCCTCGAAGCTCCCTGAGTGTTAAATAGTTCTTGGGATTTGAACAAGGATTGCATTGAATCCATAGATGACTTACTCTGGTTCTTTGTCCGAGAGCAAGGGGTGTTTTCCCACTTACTTAAATCTTTTAGTTACTTTTCAGCAATATTTTTACATTTTCCTTGTACAGTTCCTGGTTAGATTTATTCTGGAGAAGTGTTGTATTCTTTCTGATACTGTTGTAGAAGGAATTATTGTCATTTCCTCTGTAGATTGTTCACTGCTGGTATATAGAAACCCAAGTAATACTTGTCGACTTTGTGCCCTCTATCACTTGAATGAATTTTCTTATTAGCTCTACTAGGTTTTTAGTTAGGGTTTTGGTTGGGGTGTTTGGTTTTGTTTTTTTACTTTGTAACTATAAGATCATATTGTCTGCAATTAGAGGTTATTTTTTACTAGTCCTTTTCCAATATGTGTTTTGTATATTCTTCCATAACTAGTGGTCAGAACGTCTCTTGGTCTGAAGGGGAAAGAGCTGTCATCCCTCCAAAGATTATGATGTGAGCTGCGAGTTTCCTGTTGTTGCTAATTGCTGTTGACTCACAGGGACCTGGTGTATAACAGTGAAGTCGCTCCTGCGTCATCTGCACCGTTCTCGGTGTATTTGAGCCCATTGTTGTGGCCTTTGTATCGGAATGTCTCATGGAGGGTTTCCCCTCGTTTTTACAGACCCTCAACTTTACCAAGCCTGCCCTCCTTCTCTTTGATCTTTCTTGATGGTGTGTCTGAAATTGTGGTGGTGGTGGTGTTGTTATGTGCCATCGAGTCGCTTGTGACTCGTATCGACCCTATGTACTACAGTCCTAAACCCTGTCTATCCCTTGCCAATCTCATTGACTCTGACACGCCTATCCCCATTACTGCAGTCACTGAATCAATCCATCTCATCGAGGGCTTCCTCTCCTGCGCTGTCCCTCCACCTCCCAAGCATGATGTCCCTCTCCAAGGACGGGTCCCTCCTTGCAACGTGTCCAAAGTATGTCAGACGAAGCTTCTGAATCCTTGCCTCCAAGAAGCACCCTGGCTTCACCCTCTCCAGGACAAACTTGTTTGTTCTCCTAGCAGTCCATGGTATATTCAATACTCTTCTCCAGCATCAAAGCTCAAAAACATCAGTTCTCCTTCTATCATCCCTAGTCATTGTCCAGTTCTCTGAAGCATAGCAAGTAATGGCAAAGACCATGGCCTCTATCAGGCGCACGTTAGTTTCCAGACTCATATTGTTGCTCCTCAGTACCTTGGAGAGGTCTCTGACAGCAGACTTTCCCAGTGCAATTCGTGTTTTAATTTCCTGGCTGCTGGTCAAGAGTGTTGATTGTAGAGCCAAGCAAACTAAAGTTGTTAACAATCTCAATCTCTTTACCATCTGTCATGATACTGCCAATCAGCCCAGTGGTCAGAATCTTTGTTTTCTTGATGTTGAGCTTTAATCTTATTGAAGCCTGCAATCCTTTACCTTCTGCAGCAAGCACTTCATGTTCTCCTCAGTTTCAGCAAGCACGGTTGTGTCATCTGTATATCACAGATTGTTGATAAGTCTACCTCCAATCCTGATGTTACACTTCTCCTCATAGAGCCCAGCCTCTTGGATAATCTGGTCCACATATAGATTGAAAAGATTTGGAGCTAGGACACATACTTGACACATACCCTTCCCAATTTTGACCCATGCAGTGTTTTCTAGCTCTGTTCTGACGACTGCCTCCTGGTCCAAGAATAAGTTTCACATAAGCACAGTCAAGTGTTCTGAGATTCCAACATTCCTCTCAAAGTCAGCCACAGTTGTTGTGGTCCAGACGGTCAGATGCTTTTGCATAGGCTGCTTTATTGACTACAACTTCTAGCAACCATATGAACAAGAGAGAAAAGCTTGCCCTACGCTGGGCCATTCTCACAGTCTGCCACACTCAAGCCCATTGTTGTAGTCACTGTGGGAATTCACCTTGTTGAGCTTCCTCTCTTTCACTGACCCCACCTTTCCCAGAGTGATGTCTTTTTCCAATCCCTTCCCCCACTCAACTCCTGTAACGTGCCAAGAATATGTGGGACAGGTCTCACCATCCTTACTGCCAAGGAGCACCCCGGTTGCATCTCCTCCAGAAGAAATTCCTCTGTTCTTTTGACAGTCCATGGTGTGTTGAATACTCCACTTCTGAAGCAACAGGCCCTTGAAAATCCTGTGAATCACAGAACATTGTCTAAAGTAAGAGAGTGAAACGCTTCCCAAGCTCCCTTCTCTGGAACGTTCTGACTGCATTTCCTGCAAAAGGAATGGATTCCTCCCAGCAGTTTTCGATACTTAGTATTCTTAGCCAATATCTTAATCCAAATGTGTCAGTTCCTTCTTGTGACTTGCTTTTTCATTGTCCAGTTTTTTCATGTAATTAGGATCACATGTACCTTTGTTCTAAGTGGGAAATTTTTGCTTTTGAACCACATGAGAAGAGAATTGTTGGTTTTTGCAACGCATTTTCCCCATGTAATTCTTCATTGTGTCCTGACTGCTGTTCCCGTGGATGTTGCTTGTGACCCTGTGTACAGTGAAGTCCTTGACAACTTCAGCCTTTTCCCCATTGTTCATATATTGTTCATATATTGATGCTTGCCAGTTCGATCGGGAGCCCCATTTTTCTTTATGTTGTGTTGTAATCCGTCTTGAGGGTTGTATCCCTCCAGGTAAGAGGCTTGGAGTTCAAGATCAGCGCACTGGCTCCAGGAAAAAGCCTTTCCTTCTGGGCTCCAGAGGGTGAGCTTTGTCGCTTCTGAGCTCCCAGGCAATCTTCATGGGACTTGGCATATCTCGAGCCCTGTCTCGTCTCGGCTTACTTGTTAATCTTTTTCTATATCTCTAAAAAGATTTACTCAAGATGAGGCACTGATTCTGTCTCATTAATTTAAAAAAACCCAAAACCCATCCATTCCCAAATGGGATTATAACCACCAGTATAGGGGTTAATCTTTCTTCAGGGGATCGAAACTATCAGCACCTTTATCTTACTTGGAGCTGCAGTTACTCTTGGTAACCAGCAGTCAGGAAATAAGGAAATATATTGCACTGGGAAAGTCTGCAATTAGGGACCTCTCCAAATTATTGAGGAGTAATGATGTCACTTTGAGGACTAAGGTGTGTCTCATTAAGGCCATGGTTTTTCAGATCACTTGCTGTGCATCTGAAAGCTGGACAGTGAATAGGCGTGACGGAAGAAGAATTGATACTATTGAGTTGTGTGGGAGAAAAATACCAAACATCCTATGGACAGCCAAAAGAACAGATATGTCTTGGAGAGGGTGCAGCCAGAGTGCTCTTTAGAGGAAAGGATGATGGGACTCTGCCTCACATGCTTCTGGCTTGTTGCTAGGATGGGCTGTTCCTTGAAGAGGGACATGATGCATAAAAAGGTGGAGGGTCGAAGAGAAAGACCCTCAACCAGCTGGATTGACACGGTGATTGCCGCAGTGGGCTCTAGTGTGTCAGGAAGTGTAAAGATGGCACAGGATAGAACAGGGTTCAGATCTGTTGTTCACGGAGTCACTGTGGGTCATACTCAACTCAACAGCACCTAACAACAACATAGGGGTTATGATTTACACCATGCATTTCAGAGGACACTGTTTGAGCCACAGGAAGCTCTGGTGACGTGATCTGTAGGGAGTTGTGCCAAGACTCTGGGCGGTCAAATCCTCTAGCAGCTCTGCAAGAGAAAGATGACAAGTGTCCTTCTGTCCTATTTACAGCCTCAGAAACCTAGTGGAGGGTCAGTTACAAGTCACTTCTGCCTCAACAGCAATGAAAGAGAGAGAAATTTGATCCATAATTAATTCTTTCCTCTTCAGCCTTGCCTCAAACCTTTTCCATTCCAAGGTGTCATCCCATGGAAGGTCTACCCTTTTGTGTTACCCAGGCACCCCTGAGTGAGGACTCCTCTGAAAATACCCCTAAACAGAAAGCTAGAGCCTCTGCTTATTGTAGGACTGACGCCCACAGTCTGGGTGCTGTCATGGTCATCCCACCTACAGTCTCATGTGTACCCAGCAGCCTGGGGAGAGCCCTGCAGACCACTGCCCAGCCACAGTCTCCCACATCCCCCTGTGGACCTCGCCCCCTCTCCCCAGGGGTGCCTGGTCCATGCTCAGTGCCCCAGAGCGGCTCCAGCCAGGAAATCTAGACACAGATCCAGCAGATAGTCTTCTCGCCACCTGCCTTACAGTGTCAGTTTCTGGGCAGTGAGTGGGGCTACCACAGGCACCAGGTGAGTGGGTCCTATCTTGGGGCCTCTGCAGTGGTGGGTGTCATTTGTCCACAGGTGTACGTGCAGGGCTGAGCTCAGCCCCTCAGAATCCACACCACCCTTTCTCAGCTCTTCTAGGAGCTCCAGATCCCACATTTCTTTGACCCCATTCCTCATAAAATGCCTCTGCTCTCTCCGTCTCAGCCATCCTCCTCATCTGTGTCATTCCTGCACGTCCAAGGGCTGCCACTCAGCAGAGACGCTATGCCTCCTACCCCGGCGCTTCATTGACCTCGAAGACGAGGCATCCTGGCTCTGCATCTGCAGCAGCTCAGCTGAGAGCTTTCACACACTAATCCACTCAAAGAAAGGCCTGGTGATCTGTTTCTGAAAAATCAGTCATCAGAAGCCTTAAAGAGCTGGTGCTGGGACTTGGAGTCGGCCTGGTCCCTCCGCTGGGCATGGATACCTCGTGGGCACACGCATGCTTAGATGTGCCAAGACCAGTGCTCAGGCCCAGCATGCCTGTGGTACTGACCCCCTGTCTGTGCTCAGTTCACAGGAAATGGGCCATGTGGGATGAACAGTACCCCAAAGGGGGAGCCAGAGAAGATTCCAGAACATAGCAAGAAGCGTGCCCGGCCCTCACTGCTCCGCCCCGTGTCTGGTCCAGCCAAGGTAGGCACAAGCCACATACGGGTGGTTTTCCACAGAGACCTCTGCGCTTGGCCTATTCTGGCATCAGGACTCGTACTGGGGGTGGGGTTTCTCTGCAGGACCTCTAGCCAAACCTGCAAACTCAGAGTCAGACCCAGGTTTCTGATCTAGTTTGGTTTGTCTTGACCTCAAATTACCTACCTGAGTGACTTTCAGAAATCAGTGGTTTGTAATGTCCTGTCGTCCCACCATCCCGTGAAATAGTGATTTCAGGGAAGGAGTTGGAGGGTGTGAACATAACACCCAGTTTGCCCCATTTGCCAGCGCAAAATCCCACAGAGTACAGCTGTGCCCGGCAGCCACTGAACGGGGTGCCCAGCTCCTCGCCCGGCTCTCTGTAGGGCTCCCGTGTCCAGAGATGCCAGTAGCCAATTGAAGCAGTTTATGTACTGACCTGGGGTCACATGTCAGAGATCAGAGGGCTCCTGCCATGCCGTGCTTTACATGGCTGATCTACATGCCTATCTGTATGGAACTGCCAGCCTCTCCCCTAAAGCATGGAGGGTTTGAGAAGGGCCAGATGCCTACCAAGGAGCCTTGATAGTGTAGTGTGTAATGGATCAGACTCTCAGCCAAAAGATGAGCGGTTCAGATCCACCAGTGCTCTTCGAGAGAAAGAGGAGCTGTCTCCCCAAAGGCTTACATCCTCAGAAAACCAGTGGGCGGATGACAGCAGTGGGTTTGTTTTCCTGGATGAGTACCCGCTGGATGCCCAACTGACCTTCAGGAGGCATCAGTTGGGGGGCACCATGAAGTCTTGGTTGGTCTTGACCACAGTAGGTGGCACCCCGCACTCACAGGAGGTCCCGGTCTTCATAGTTGGAGGTGCACTGCACAGTTAAGGGACCTCTCAGAACTGAGGGTCCAGCTGACCTTCACAGGAGGGGGGAGAACTTTGCAGTATATGGTGGTCCTAGAAGGACGATCCCCTGCTGCCTGGGGTCCCTACCTATCACATACTCTGGTTCTGCTGCCTGGAGCGTCCAGGTTGCTGTTCTGGTCTGAGGTGGATCCAGGACGTCCTGAAAGCAGAGCGTTCACACACAGATTCTCTCTGCAGAAGAAGATGAAGCTCCGTGGGACCAAGGACCTGTCCATCGCCGCCGTGGGCAAGTATGGGACCCTGCAGGAGTTCTCTTTCTTCGACAAGGTGAGGCCCTGTGGCCTGAGTAGGCTGAGTCAACCTCCCAGGCCCGGTTGAGACTAGTTACTTAGTGACTTCAGTGCAGCGAGTGGCAGCTCCAGAAAAATGGAAGAACTGGGCCATGAGGCAGTTGAGGGTGTGGCAGACAGGACCCCAGAGCAGGTGGGCAGGACACATCTGCCCTTGAGCTGTGAAGCTTTCCCCACCCTCCCTTTCTCTAGTGGGGTTGGTGCTTAGGGTCAAGCAGAACAAAGTCATTGCCCATAGACCCGAGCTAGTCACGTAGAGTGGAGGGCGGGTAGTGGGGATGTCCTTGGCAGGTGACGTTAGCCACGGGAGTTGGCCGTGTGTGCACCTTACAGACAGACCACCCCAAGCCGGCATTGGCCTAGAGACTACTCACACGGACAGTGGGGTGGTGGGGATCCCTGGTGACATCTGGGTCCCAGGGGCCAGCAAAGTGAGACTGGCAGTGGGACACACGGCACCAGCTGACATCTTCAAGGGAGCTGGGAAGTTCAGGGCCCTCTGATTGTGGGTGGGGCAAGCTGAGTGACACCTTAGTTGCATGGCGGCTGGGCAAGGCCGCACTCATGGGTGGCAGATGCACTCACGGGACCCGTGTGACCTCTCCTGTCCCCTCCCTGCAGGTGCGCCGGGTTCTGAAGAGCCAAGAGGTCTACGAGAACTTCCTCCGCTGCATCGCGCTCTTCAACCAGGAGCTGGTGTCTGGCTCCGAGCTCCTGCAGCTGGTCAGCCCGTTCCTGGGGTGAGCGGCATCCCGGGCCTGGGAACCCACACCCCTCCCGCTGTTGTTGATGCTTGATTCTAAAGAGACAGTGTGCTTTTGTTCTCTCATTGAGATCTTGGTAGTTTCATGGGTAGTTCTAAGAAACTGTGTGTGAATAAGGATGAGACTGAATAAGGATGAACTGAAGCCTCTGGGTTGTGGTGCTGGAGAAGAGCACTGCCTGTCCTGGGAATGCCAGAACCAACAGATGTGTCGCAGAAAAGTGCAGCCAGAGTGTTGCGTGGAGGCAAAGACAGCGAAGCTTCAGCTTTCTTACTTTGCACATGCAGCTAGGCCACACTGTTCTTTGGAAAGAGGCATCGTGCTTGGAAAAATGGAGGGTCTGCAAAGGACCGGAAGACGCCTGAGGTACATTGACACAGTGGCTTCAGCAGTGGGCTCCAGTGTCAGTGACGGTGAGGACGCCACGGGATAGGGCAGGGCTCAGTTTCATAGGGTCACTCTGAGTCATACTTGACTCTGGCACCTCACAACAACGTGCATGCACGTCCTGTCCCCCAGTCTCTGGATCAGTGGCAATCTGTAGTCAAAATTGCAGTCCCTGAGTGGCACACACAGCCGCTGACAGGAAGGCTGTAAGGCCAAAGGCTCATCGAGAGAAAGGCCTGGCAATCTGCTTCAGAAAAACTCGGCTATTCAAAACAGCAGCAGGGTTTTTTTTAAAAAAGAGAAAACTTGATGAAGGAGTTCTGTCACTCACGGAGTCACCATGAGTTGGAATCGCCTTGGTGATGGCTGGTTTCAGTCCCTGAGCCTCTGAAGACAGGGATGTCCATTTTATAAGTGTTCAAACCAAGGCTCACTTTGCTGATGGAAACAGGGTCCCAGGTGGGCTCGGGGGGGGGTTCTCACACCTGCTGTATACGTGTTTCCCATGTGCTTCCGCTTGTAGCATTTCATCCTATCAATGACAGTGTTCGAGAGATGTCCCCATTACATATGCAAGTCCTGACCTCTCCACCTGTGATGTGACTCCATCCAGGAGGACGGGTTTTTGTTGTTACGTGATAAGAGACTGAATTGTGCAGAGCGGGCCCTGTGCGTTTTAGGCCGAGCAGTGTAGACACAGAGACAAGCAAATGGGGGCACAGTGAGGCCACAGGAACACCCCCAGAGCAGGCCGAGTAGGACTGCACTCTGTAGGGTTTCAGAAACTCAAAGAGTTCCCAAGCACAGCCAGGCCTTTCCTTCTGAGGCCCTTCTGGGTCAGCTCAAGTGTCCAGACTTCCTGTTAGAAGCTGAGTGCTTGTCCCTTTGTACCTCCCTAAAGAAGAGGGAAGGAGCACTCCCTAAGGTGCAGAGCACATGGGACGGGAAAGGTGGTGATCCTCCCTCTGTCTGGAGAGTTTGTGTGCAACCAAAAAGAAAAGAGTTTAAAGTGGTCCAGAGCGAAGGCTCCCTCTTTAGGCTTCAGAGACCATAGTGGGGGCAGCGAGCGTCATGTTTGGAGGAGCTGATAATAATACCTCAGGCTTTGGGGCCACCTAGTCTCTGTTGTGACAATTCAACATTGCCCCTGTCATACAAAAGCAAGTATAAGCAGTATATACACAAATGGATGTGGTTTTGTGCTAAAAAAATTTGTTTGCAATACCCCACCAACGATCTGGACCAAGCAAGACCAGAGCATTCTGCTCTTCCCTCAGAATGGAGGCCAGAATCAGAAGCTTGTGCCCCAGAGAAGCAGGGTTTCATCCAGCCCTTCTCCCTGATTCTCCCGATACTGACTGAGGAGGACTTAGGGCACCCAGAAATGGGAGATGCCATTGCCCAGCCCAGGAAGGTCCTGGAATATAGTGCAGTTGGAGGCAGGTACAGCTGAGGTTATATGGTGCTGGAGGTGTTGTAGGCACTGGGGAAGGCCAGGAAGCAGGATGCGGATAGTCTGCAGCAGGCCCCGACGGTGGGCTGGTGTGTGGAACTGCTCCAGCGTTTCTTTGTATTAGATGACATCATGAATTCACCCCTTACCTGATGCGGGCAGCCCTGCTGGTATCGGAAGCCAGGCAGAGTTTGGATGCCGTCAGTGACACCAGGCTGCTGGATTCGTCTGTCTGTGGCCTGCTGAAGCTCTGCTGCTGAGATCAGCCCCATTATCTGAACCAGAGGGAGAGTTCCTATCAGACTAAGATCGGACAGACATTGGACCTCACCGCTGCCGCCCCAGGCAAGGTGGATCTTAGCAGATTGTCTGCAAAGATGTCCAAATCTACTGTCAAATACAAGATAGCTTTCTGCCCTGGACTTCTGTGGGTGCTGCAGTGTGAATGGCGGGCATGGATGGGGAGAAGCGTGCCAGTGCCAACAAGAGCCTGCTGGAGACGGGCAAGTTCTTTCAGGTTCAGGGTGGTTACCTTGATCTTTTTAGTGACCTGAGTGTGAGGACTAGATTGGCACTGACAGCCGGGACAACAAATGCAGCTTGCTGGTGATGGCATTGTCCGCAGAGGGCCTCTGGCACGGCACCAGATATCCTGCATGGCAATGATGGCAGAGGAGACGGAGAAGGTGGCCCTGTGTGTAAGGAGCTGGAGCTGCCCACTGTGTCCAAGCAGTGTGGAGAAGAGAGTGTCGACCACTCTGTGGAGCTGATGGAGCAGTACACTGCCGCCGTGCCCCCGGCCACCCTCCTGGGACAAGATCTACAGGCGGGGGGAGGTGACCCTAAAGATAGGGAGGGGAGGCTCTTAAATGATTATTGGGGTGGGGTGGGGTTTTTAAAATTTTTTTATTTTTTATTTAATTGTATTATTTGTGTGTGTGTGTGTGTGTGTGTGTACACCATCAAGTCAGATCTGACTGGTACAGGAGATTGCCCCTCCTCCAGCAGAGCATCTGGTGGATTTGAACTGCTCACCTCTGGGATTGCAGTACAGCATCTTGCCACTAGGCCACCAGAGCTCCCTATTGTGGGGTTGTTTTTTTTAAAAAAAAACAAAACAACACACACACTAAAGATTTTATTTACAAAAGGGTCTGGGTTGCAGTTTGTTTCTGGTTCAGGAAGGTCACTGGGGACCCGGGCCCCCCTGGTGCCCTGGCTTCTGCTGGTTTAGCGTGAGCTTATGAGTCTCAAGACCTCCCTGTGAGTCACGGGCATGGGGGGTGCGGGAGACAGCCTGGAGGAGGAGGCATCTGCACCTCACTTCCCTGTGCTGAAATCTGACCATTAGTGACCCAGAGGACACTCAGAAAGCCTGGGTCTCTGAGGCCCTGAGGTGCTCACTTCCTGCTCGTTTTTCTTTTTAAAGGAAGTTTCCAGAACTCTTTGCCCAGTTCAAGTCCTTCCTGGGGGTGAAGGAGCTGTCCTTTGCCCCACCCTTGAGTGACCGGTCAGGGGATGGGATCAGTCGGGAGATCGACTACGCATCCTGCAAGCGCATCGGCTCCAGCTACCGGGCGCTGCCCAAGACCTACCAGCAGCCCAAGTGCAGCGGGAGGACAGCCATTTGCAAGGAGGTAGTGCTGTGGGGAGGGCGGTGATGTTCACAAAGAAGCCCAGCTCCCGGCGTGTGGAAGGGACAGCCACTTACAGGGAGGGAAGACAGCCAGCTGCAGGGAGCCTGTGCCCCTGCCGTGGTCCAGTTGCTCGAGGCAGACCTGTACACCCACTGGGTTTAAGTTGGCTTGTCCGTTGTACAAGGAGGCTCGTGTCCATAGCCCCATACCAGGAATGAGAGACTGTGTGCCAGGTGGCAGGCCGACCAGCTGGGCAGAGAAGGCAGCTTTCTCGCTGACGGCTGCCTTGGTGAGCTCAGAGCGGGCGTTGTGTATGGTGGGATCATTTCTGTCAGAGCTCACGCTTGACTTTACCAGGGACCTCTTTCTCGGGCTAGTAGGTGGGCCAGGAGCCCTGGTGGCTCAGTGATTAAGCACTGGGTTACTCACTTGGTAATTTTAAACTGCCCATCTCCCCAGGTGGTTCCATAGGACCGAGGCCTGGCTGTCTCCTCCCTGAAAGATTACAGCATAAAAAACATGATAGATCAGTTCTACTCTATAACACATTGCTGTGACAAAATTGACAGCCCCTAATAACAGCACACAGGCTGTGAGAAGGGGGTACCAGGCAGTGGGGCTCAGTGGGAGAACACTCACCTTCCGTGCAGGAGCTCTGTTCCTGGTCAGCGCACCTCAGGCACGTCCACTCTCTGTCTGTCAGCAATATGCTTGTACCGCTATGCCTCTGAACGGATGTTAGCACAGCTTCCAGGCTAAGACAGACTGGAAACCGTGGACTAGTGACTGCCTTCAGGTCAGCCAGTGAAAAACCCTGTGGGTCACCCAGTCTGATCCTGGGGCTGCAGAACCAGGCAGCATTTCATTCTGTCGTGTGTGGCCAACACCAGGCCGACTTACCCACAGATGGACTGGACATTTGCAGAATTCAAGGGTGCCCACTGGGTGCAGGGTGTGCTCCTGGGGTCTCAGCCCAAGGGCCAAGTCCTGGCCTGCTTATATCAGACTTGGTTAGTCACAGCCACGCTCCTTTCCAGTTCTATAGACAGTTCAGTAGTAAGGACAGAGCACATTAGCACCTGAGTCTAAAATGTTTATTATCCAGCCTTTTATGGAGAGAGGTCGGCCAACATCTGAGGTAGTGTGTTCAGTGGCCACGGGAATGTCAAGACCACATTTATCGCCTATGATAAGCAGTTTCTTGTAAAATCAGGGTGGCCTTGCTTGTCTGGGTGTCTCCTGCAATGAGAGATGGTGATGACAATGGCAGCTGAGCCACGGGGCTATTACTGCATCTCCCGGTGCAGGTGCTGAACGACACCTGGGTCTCCTTCCCTTCCTGGTCCGAAGACTCCACCTTTGTCAGCTCTAAGAAGACGCCGTACGAGGAGCAGCTGCACCGCTGTGAGGACGAGCGCTTTGAGGTGCGGGCACCGGGCTGGCAGCAGGGGCTCGGGGTGCCACAGGACAGGGGTGCGTTGTCCACACAAGGATACGTCAGCTGCTCCCTCACTGCCCCCCTCCTCACCAGTCTCCTCCTGAGCAGTGACAGTCCACCCTCTGTCCCCAGAGCGCTCCTAGTTTGGGCACCGTCGCTTCCCCAGTTGTCCTGGGCTGGCCACATGATGACCTCATTCCTTTCCTTTCTCTGTCAGCATCGTTCTGTAGTTGAAATCTTTACTGAGATCATTCTAGATTCTCGTGCAACTAAAAAAAAGTCACCCCGAGAGATAAGGCAGCCCCACCCAGTCCCCCAGTGGGAATGGCTGACAGAGCCCACAGAGGCGGCAGGATCTTGACAGTGCCCTGGTGCTCATTTGTGGGAGTGTGTGTGCATGTGTGCGTGTGTTTGTGCAACATGAGTGTATAGGAGCTGGATCGGTTGTGTGAATGAGGGTCAGTGTATGAGTAAATGGTATTTTCAGAGGTAGTTAATCGCACAGGAGGAGATTGCCCATCCTTCTTGTGTGTGGTCCGTGTGAGCAGTTGTGTGTAGGGAGACCGCACACATCCTTGTGTATATGTGAACATGTAGGGAATGTGTGTGCACATGTGTGTGTATTATGTGTATGTTGTTGCTGTCGGTGCCCTCGAGGCAGCCACGACTTACTGTGACCCTGTAGCCAGCGGCACTGCATCTTGCCCTATCGGAACTAACCTCACCCCCTTCTGACACGCCTGAGCCCATTGCCAGGGTCATTTTCTCAATCCATGTCATCCAGGGTCTTCCTCTCTTGTGCTGACCTTTTGCCCTTCCAAGCATGATCTGCTTCTCTAGAGACTGGCCCCTCCTGACAAAATGCTGAGTTTGTGAGACAGACTTCAAAATCTTTGCCTCTAAGGGGCAGTCTGATTTCACCCTTTTCAGTGGCATCCATTTCCTAAAAAAACATGCCTCCAGAAACGCTATGAACTTTGATAAATGTCGATAGCTGTAGAGGGGCTTCAGGCCTTTTGTTCATAGGGTCACTGTGAGTTGTTCTTGACTCGAAGACAATCAACAATAACAGGACAGATCTGCTTTTTCTCTTGGCTGTCCATGGGATGTACAGTACTCTTCTCCAGCACCACAGTTCAAAGGCCTCAGTTCTTCTGTTATCCTTAGTTAAGGTCTGGCTCTCAGATGCATGACACCGTTGCTCTTCAGCGCTCTGGAGAGGTCCCTGACAGCAGAGCCTCCCAGTGCAACTTGCCTTTTGATTTCCACACTGCTGGTGTCAAGGCTGTTGATCGTGGATCTGAGCAAGTAAAAACTTAAACAACTTAAAACTTGCCTCCTTCTCTCATGATGTTGCCTTTTGACCTAATAGTAAGGAATTTTGTTTTCTTGATGGTGAGATGCAACCCATATTGAAGGCTGCAGTCCCTGCGCTCCTGCAGCCAGCGTTTCCAGTCCTCAGTTTCAGCAAGGAAGATTGTGTCATCTGCATAACAGGTAATTGACGAGTCTTCCTCCAATCCTGATGCCACATTCTTCTTCATAAAGTCCAGCCTCTCAGATTGAAAAGGATGTGTCCCTGCCGCACTCTGTTCTTGATTTTGAACCATGCAGGTGTTCCCTCACTTTGTTCAGACAACAGTTTCTTAGTCTAGGTAAAGGTTTCGCATGACCACAATTGGGGGTTCTGGAATTCCTATTCTTCTCAGTGTTAGCCACAGTTTATTGTGATCCACACCATCAAATTTCTTTGCACAGTTGATTAAAAAGTACATCTTTGTAGTACTCTGCTTTCAACCAAGATCCCTGACGTCAGCAGTGACAGCCCTATTACCATGGCCTCTTCTAAACTCAGTTTGCATTTCTGGCAGTTCTCTGTCAGTGTACTGTTTTAGTTATTTTTTTTAAAAGCTTCAAGATTTTACTTGCATGTGATATTAATGATACTCAATAATTTCCACATTCTATGGGCTCTGTTGAGAATGAGAATAAATATGGATATCTTGCAGTCAGTTGGCCAGTTACCTGTCCTCTAGATTTGTTGTCACAACCTAGTGAGCACACCCAGGGCTGCGTCTGTCATTTGAAACATGTCAGTTGGTATGCCATTGGTTTCTATGGCCTGATTTTTTACCATTGTCTTCAGAGCAGCTTGAACTTGCTTGTTTACCATTGGCTCTTGATCCTGTGATACTTGTTGAAATGGTTGTGTGTCCGCCTGTTTGTTTTGGTATGGTGCCTCTCTATTCCTTCCATCTTCTTTTGATGCTTCCTGAATCATTCAAGATTTTGCCCATAACGTCTTTATGTATTGCAGCTCATATTTGTTGAAGAGCAGCTTGAATTTGTTTTCCTTCAGTCTGAGAAATGCTGAGGGGGTATTCCTTTTTTATTTGCTTACTCCAGCTCCTGGCACGTTTCATTGCAATACTTTGCTTTGTCTTCCTGAATTGCACTTTGAAGCCTCTGTTGAAGTCTTTAATTTCTTCCCTTTGGCTTCTTGGCTCTAGTCCAGTATTCAGAGTCTTTTCCAACATCCATTTTGGTCTTTTCTTCCTCCCCTGTTTTTGTAATGACCTTTTGCTTCCTTCATGGATGATATCCTTGATACTGTCCACAGTTCATGAGAGAGAGAGTGTGTGAGTATGTGGGTGAGTGTGTGTGTGTGTGTGAAAGAGAGAGAGAGAGAGTGTGTTGTCAATTTGTCCTGTGGAGAGGTTTGTGTCCACACCACATTCAGGCCCCTCCTGCTGCCCCTTCATCCGTCTCCCGTGCCCAGCCTGAGCACCTGCTAAGTTCTCCCTCCAAGGACAGTCCCATAAAAGGGCTCACACAGTGTGTGTTCTCAGAACTGGCTTTCGCCCCTCACCACAGTGCCCTGGGGACCCTCCCAGGCTGCTGTGTGTGTTACCTGTTTCCTGCCCACTGCTGGAATAGGTAGGAGGGTCAGCCTGGAGGCGTCCTCTGATGGTCACAGCACTTGTGGCACTGTGGAGGCTGGAGAATCCTGCTGTATCTCCTCAGTGTCCCACCACAGGCTGCTCCCCCAGCTGTAGAGCCTAACCCACCCTAACCCCTTGAGGTGCTCCATGGGCCCATGAGCCAGTAACCTCAAGACCTAGGTTTCCCCTCTGCCTTCCCCAGGACCCCACGCCCTGCAGGGTTGACCATTTGCGTTCCTTCAACAGCTGGATGTCGTCCTGGAGACCAACCTGGCCACGATCCGCGTGCTGGAGAGCGTGCAGAAGAAGCTGTCGCGCATGGCCCCGGAGGACCAGGACAAGTTCCGCCTGGACGACTGCCTGGGTGGCGCCTCTGAGGTCATCCAGCGGCGCGCCATCTACCGCATCTATGGCGACAAGGCCCCCGAGATCATTGAGAGCCTCAAGAAGAACCCCGCCACTGCCGTACCTGTCGTCCTCAAGAGGTGGCCTCCTCGGGGACGCACGCTGTGCCATTCTAGAACTTTCCATGCTTGGTCTCATATTAACGCAGGCAGGGGGTGGTTCTCCAGTGTGAAGGGGACTTTCCTGCAACACAGCTTGCTCGCTTGTTTTTTAATTAGACTTTGTACTCGATGGCAGTTTCCGGTCTGTGGCAGCATCGTGTGGGGAGAACAGACCGTTCCGTGTGCCCCCTCTTCTCCCTGCACGCCAGTCCCCCTGTAACTAACAGCCTGTGTGCTTGTGGTACATTTGTTACACTTGATCTGTTCTTGACATGTTATTATTAATTCAAGTTCACGGTTTACATTAGGGTTCACTCTTGGTATTCTCTCGCCCTGTGGGGTTTGACAAATAATGAATGCCACGTGTCCTCACGACAGTGGTGGTGTACAAAGTCACTTGAGTACCCTAAAAGTGTTCCTGGCACAACTTCTTCATCCTCACCCCCCCACCTCATGAGCCCCTGACAACCACTTGTCTGTAGTTTTGTCGTTTCCGGTACATTCTGGAATGTGCTCTTTGGGATCTTGTAGGGTTTTTAGAGCGATTTCTTTTGCTTAGCAATGTGTGTTTACAGTTCCTCCCCATCTTTAATATCAGGGCTGTGCTCCGTTGTCTAGAGACCCATGCTTTTCCTCTCCACACCACAGTTTATTTAAAACTGCTTCTTGGATGCAGTTTTAAAGCTGGACCTCTTCTTCTTTCTGGAAAGTCAGGGTCAGATCTACTGAGGGAGACATGGCCCTGCTCTCAAGGGGTACTGGGTCCAAGGACGGTCAAGACAGGGCAGGTTTCAGCTGCAGCAGGTTTAGACCACCGTTCCCACTGTGGGTTTGTGGGGTGGGCACTGTTGAGGGTGTGCGGGAGGACGAGGTGGCCCCTGCTGAGCCCTCCGCCCCACAGGCTGAAAGCCAAGGAGGAGGAGTGGCGGGAGGCGCAGCGCGGCTTCAACAAGGTGTGGCGGGAGCAGTACGAGAAGGCCTACCTCAAGTCCCTCGACCACCAGGCCGTCAACTTCAAGCAGAACGACACCAAAGCCCTGCGCTCCAAGAGCCTGCTCAACGAGATCGAGAGCGTCTACGACGAGGTGAGCTGCCGCTCCTCAGCCGCTGGGCTGGGGGACACGGGGGTCAGGGAGGCAGAACGTGGCCCCCAGGCTGGAGCCAGCGCCCAGCAGGGCCAGAGGGAACTTTCTCAGTCAGTGACCAGCACATGCACTCTTGCCAGCTTGTTCTCTGTCCCTGTCTTTGTGTCTGTGTGTGTGTGTGTCTGTCTGTCTCTCTTCTGCTGTCTCTCTGGGTAGAAGCTCATGTCGGTAGCCATCATGCGGTGGCATCAGGCCACAGCATTTCTGTGTTTGGGGGCCCCCTGGTCCCTGCCCACCTCCTACCCCCTCTCCCTGCCCCCAGCACCAGGAGCAGCACTCCGAGGGCCGCAGCGCCCCCGCCAGCGAGCCCCACCTCATCTTCGTCTATGAGGACCGGCAGATCCTGGAGGACGCAGCGGCCCTGGTCAGCTACTACGTGGCGCGGCAGCCGGCCATCCAGAAGGAGGACCAGGCCACCATCCAGCAGCTGCTGCACCAGTTCGTGCCCAGCCTCTTCTTCTCACAGCCTCTGGACCCTGGGGCCTCTGAGGAGTCGGCCGATGAGGACAGAGAGGGAACACGGGGCCCAGGCTCGGAGGCCAGTGAGCGGAAGCGGCCGGGGGCAACTAGCAGCCCCCCAGAGGAAAAGGGACCCCCAGGGGACAGCCCAGCGCCTGGGCCACAGCCCACACCCCTAGATGATGTCTACAGCCTTTTCTTTGCCAACAACAACTGGTACTTCTTCCTGCGCCTGCACCAGACGCTGTGTGCCCGGCTGCTCAAGCTCTACCGCCAGGCTCAGAAGCAGCTGCTGGAGTACCGGGCGGAGAAGGAGCGTGAGCAGCTGCTGTGCGAGGGCCGGCGCGAGCGGGGCAGCGACCCCGCCATGGAGCTGCGCCTGAAGCAGCCCAGTAAGTGGGGCCTGGGTGGGGAGGGCGGCCACCCCGCCATGGAGCCGGGCCGGAAGCAGCCCAGTAAGCGGGGACTGCGTGGGGAGGGCGGCCACCCTGCCATGGAGCCGGGCCGGAAGCAGCCCAGTAAGCGGGGACTGCGTGGGGAGGGCGGCCACCCTGCCATGGAGCTGCATGGGAGGGAGCAGCCCAATGAGCCGGGAACCAGGTAACGAGGACAGCCACCCCTCAAGGGAGTTGTGGCTGGAGTAGCCCAGTGAGCTGGGGACCAGGTGGCGAGAGGGCAGCCCCACGGTCATGGAGCTTGCCTGAAGCAGCCCAGTGAGTGAGGTATTGGGATGAGGAGAGGGCTGCCACCCCTCAAGGAGCTGAAGCTGGGGCAGCCCAATGAGCCAGGGGAAAAAGATGGGGAAAGGGCTACACCGCATGGAGTTGTGGCTGGGGCAGCCCAGTGAGCCGGAGACAGGCATGGGGAGAGGGCGGCCCGCTCTCTGTGAAGCTGTGCTGGAGAAGCCCAGTGAGTTAAGGGTGAAGCCAGAGGACAGCAGATAGGGCTGGGGCGGGGGGGATGGCTGATGCCTGGGCACCTTCATTTGCTTGGTAACTTACATCAGAAGCATCCTGTTCTAACTGTCCCCTCTGAGGTCATGACAGATGTCTGCAAATGGTAGAAGTAGTTGAGAGAGGCATGTATCCCCCTCAGCCCAACAGTGGCTGCTGCTTGCCTCACTGTGGGGTCAGGCCAGGGCCTTTGGCTCGGGCACTGCTGAGGACAGAATGCAGCCTCATTCACGCTCACACCTGGGGGCCGTGTCCCAGGGCCTGGTCAGAATTTCCACTTGGCAGGTGTGACCTGTACACTTGATCCCAGCGTTACTGTCATCCCCACCAGCAGGCCTCTCACCTGCCTGAACCCTGGTGGTGGGGACAGAGTGGATGGGGCTGCTGCTTGCGGAGATCCCTGCTGTCTGGCAGGGAGGCTGCAAGGGCCACAGGCTGGGTGGCCATCTCAGGCCTGGCTGGCCTGGTGCTCGGGTTCCTCTGGATGCGGGGAGCTGAAGGGCAGTGACCGTCCTCCCCAGGTGAGGTGGAGCTGGAGGAGTACTACCCCGCCTTCCTGGACATGGTGCGGAGCCTGCTGGAGGGGACCATTGACCCGACGCAGTACGAAGACACGCTGCGAGAGATGTTCACCATCCACGCCTACATCGGCTTCACCATGGACAAGCTGGTGCAGAACATTGCGCGGCAGGTGAGGGGCCACGCTGCCAGCCCACCACCCACCCACCTCGTGCTTGCTATTTGAGGTGACTCTCAGTGTAAAACGAACTTCCAGCGCGAGCCATTCAGTGACAAACAGTAGGTTCACAGTGCTTTATCACCCACAAAATGAGAACCCTCAGCTGCCCCCAGCCCCAGGCAACTACTTTTCATCCCTGTGGATTTTCCTGTTCTGGACATTTCACTCAAATGAAGTTACACACTGGCTCCTTGCACTCAGCATGATGGTTTTGGTCTGCCTGGGTTTTTTTTTTAAATTGTGAAAATGTAAAAAAGTAACCATTTCAGTTTTTTCAAATACAGCTCCATAATGTTAATTACGTGTTAATTAACCATCTGTTTCCAAAGTTTTCCCACACCCCAAACAGGAACTCAGTACCCCTTACGCTGTGATCCCCATCTCTTCCCTGTGGCCCTCCACAGGTGTTCTTTGATGTCCGTATTCTTGCCTGTTCTAGATGTTTCATATTCGTAAAATTATGTCCTTATAGTCTGTTTTCGGTGTCATGTCAGAGTCGACACACATGAAAGCAGGTGTCAGGACTTGATCCTTTCTCATGACTTGAGTCACAGCCTGTTGAACAGATGGACCAGACTCTTCATCCCTCTGTAGGTGGACACTTGGGTTCTCTCCATTTTTCAGTTACTGTGACTAGCTTTCTGTTAACATGGGTGTGATACCTATTTGAGTCCCTCAACTAATTCTTTAAGGGAGCTTCGGTGGCTTAGTGGTAAGGCGTTGCACTTCTAACCTGAAGGTACATGGTTTGAATCCACCAGCCGTTCGTTCCGCAGGAGAAAGACAACCTCCTGTGTGATTTACAGCCTCTGAAAACCTGGAGGAGAGTCAGCTGTTAATTGGTTCTGATTAAGTGGTACACAACAGCACCAACCAGCAACATTTGTAAAAAGTGTTCATGTTTTTGACTTGGAGAGTTAATAGAGTTAGCATAGCTGAATACCCACGAGAGGATGTTGTTCAGAGACACAGGCAGCATCGGGAGGGCCATGGGCGTCTGAGTCTACGGTACATACAGTTCAGGGCCCATGGGGCTGGCTTTGGGGAGGCCACCAGGTTCACACCTCATGCCAGGAGCATCTGTGCTGACACCTACGAGCTGGCAGCAAAGAGCAGAAGGTGACAGTGCAGCCCAAGCAGGCCATCGCCCCGGCGTCCCCACTTGCAGGGTCATCTCAGCCTCTGCTCCCGCTGCGGGTGCATCTGCCCCCTTCTGGTGGGCAGTAGGGTCTGCATCCTCAGGTTGTAAGAACATGACCCCAGGTTGGCCGTTGCGTCTGGCCCTCGCTCTGAGATGGTGTGGGGTGGGGAGGGTTGGACTGTGTGTAGGTGCCATCAGGCGGGGAGTACTCAGTCTCCAAGCTTAACCTGACTCCACTGAGGCCGTGAACACACCTGTAGTTGAACCAGAAAACAAGTCTGCTGCAGTTAAGCTGTTTCAGACTCCTGACGACCCGCCTCCACTTGGGTTTCTGAGACTCTAAATCTTCAGGAGAGGAGCCTTCCTCCCACAGGGCAGCTGGTGGATTCGAACCTCTGGCCTTTGGGTTAGCAGCCCGCAATGTTACACACTACACCACCAGTGCTCTTCTGTAGCTGAACCAGGAGGGAGAGATGAGCACTCATCGTGTCGCCGTTTGAAGAGAGTTACTGTCCCAGCCTGACGTGTCATTTCTGTCTGGTTTCTGTGCACCCCTCACACACAGGCAGGATGTGCCTTGTTGGGTTAAGATGGGATCATGTTGGGGTACAGTATGTTCAGGGTGGAGTCGATAGATTGGGGCTGAGATGGGATTGGGCTAGATTCAGGTTAGGTTGGGGCCAGGTTTAGATGTAGCTGGGTGGGATTGGGATTAAGGTGCTGTTGGGGTCAAGTGTAGGTGGGGGGTTTAGACTGGCCGAGATAGCTTTGAGTTGAGATGCACTGAACAGTGGGCATCACCTTGGGCAGCTTGGTGGCCATCCTGGACATCCCCCGTGTAGGTGGGGGGTTTAGACTGGCCGAGATAGCTTTGAGTTGAGATGCACTGAACAGTGGGCATCACCTTGGGCAGCTTGGTGGCCATCCTGGACATCCCCCGTGTAGGTGGGGGGTTTAGACTGGCCGAGATAGCTTTGAGTTGAGATGCACTGAACAGTGGGCATCACCTTGGGCAGCTTGGTGGCCATCCTGGACATCCCCCCCTTGGTGCAGACCCATCCATTGTGGGTTGTGTGTTCCGGCTGAGTGGGGCCTCCTGCTCACACAGGAGCTGGGCCGGTGGGCACCCCGCGAGCATGGCGGACACTCACCCTCCCTCCTCCCTCCCCAGCTGCACCACCTGGTGAGCGACGACGTGTGTCTCAAGGTGGTGGAACTCTACCTGAACGAGAAGAAGCGCGGGGCCGCTGGCGGGAACCTGTCCTCGCAGAGTGTCCGCGCCGCCCGCGAGACCAGCTACCAGTGGAGGGCGGAGCGGTGCATGGCTGACGAGAACTGCTTCAAGGTGGGCTAAGGGCGGGGCGGTGGGCTTCAGAGGGCGAGAGTGAGGCCTGCCAGGGCGTGGACCCCACGTGCACCCTGTCCCAGCCCCTGCTCACTTGTCTCTGGATGGTGCCACTGACCACAAGTGCAGGGGGCTGTGAGGAGACCTTGGAGGCCAGGTCGCTTGTGCTGGGGTCCTTCATGGTAGGTTCGTCCAGTGGCTTCAGGTGGGTTGTGTGGCTCTGCCCTCAGGTGATGTTCCTCCAACGCAAAGGGCAGGTGATCATGACCATTGAGCTCCTGGACACAGAGGAGGCCCAGACAGATGACCCTGTGGAGGTGCAGGTCAGTGGGGAGCCCCAGGTCTTCCACATCATGCTGCATTCTCAGGGTGAACATTGTAGGGGGCTGGAGGCCTGGTGAGAAACACTGCTGGAATGGGATTTACAGTGCCCCCTCACCCCCACACAGCACCTGTCCAGCTACGTGGAGCAGTACGTGGGCACGGAGGGCACTGCCAGCTCACCCAGTGAGGGCTTCCTGCTGAAGCCAGTGTTCCTGCAAAGGTGAGGGGGCCACCCACGGTGGAAGACTCTGGGAGAGGAGAGCCTCAGTCCAGGGCCTCAGAGGCCTGAAGGTCAGGGGATCAGCCTAGAAACCCCAGGAGTTCCTATGGCCAGGCCACCAAAGAGGACCCGGGACCCTGATCCATGGGGATGCAGGTGAATGAACAGATGTAAGAAGGCCCTCGAGGGTCTGGACCTCTACCCAGGAGTGAAGAGAGGAGGTGGAACCTGGGCTGACGCGAGAGGTCAGGTGTAGAGGGGTGCTGAGAGGGCGGAAGTCTGGGTCTGGCTTCCTGCAGAGTGGAGGTGAGTGGACAGAGACTTGGCTGGGTTTGCCCACAGGAAAGAGGAGAGGTGGGTGAGGCAGTATGCAGGACAGAGGCATAGGTGCTGCAGGGCACCCTACCTGGACCTGGCAGGCTGGTGACTGGGTCTTTGGTTTGCACCTTCCTGTGCCTGGGTGTTCATATGTGTTGTGGCCACAAAGCCCCAGACCTGTGGACCTCAGCCTTACTTCCTGGGGTCCACCTGGAGCCTCCTGGGGGCGGGGCGGGTGCCCAGCACCACCTTCTGAGTGCGTCCCTGCGTAGGAACCTGCGGAAGTTCCGGCGGTGGCAGTGCGCACAGGTACGGGCGCTGCGTGGCGAGGCCAAGGGCACGTGGAAGCGGCTGGTGGGTGTGGAGAGCGCGTGCAGTGTGGACTGCCGCTTCCGCCTCAGCACCCACAAGATGATGTTCATCGTCAACTCTGAGGACTACATGTACCGCCGTGGCGCCCTCGGCCGCGCCAAGCAGGTGCCTGGCCCCCAGCCTTCCCCGCCCTCCCCTCTGGGCTTCCAGGCTCTCACCCACGTATCTACCAGCCTCTAGCTGTCCTGACCCCTTGTCCCCACCCCACAGGTGCAGCCCCTGGTGCTGCTCCGGCACCACCGGCACTTTGAGGCGTGGCACGGACGCTGGCTAGAGGACCACGTGCCTGTCGAAGCGGCCAGCCTGGTGCAGGACTGGCTGATGGGTGAGGAGGATGAGGACCTGGTGCCCTGCAAGACACTGTGTGAGACAGTGCGTGTGCACGGGCTCCCTGTTACCCGCTACCGCGTGCAGTACAGCCGACGGCCTGCCTCGCCTTGACGTCCTCTGGGGCATGCCACATGGGTGTCTCCACGGTATTTTGTCCTGACCTGGGGCCTGGCCTGTGCCAAACTGACCTGCCTGCCCCAGGGCAACTGGAGAAGCCTAGCCTGGGAGCTTCGGGGTATCTGCCTACTAGGATGAGACCAGGGCTGAGCCAGGTGCCAGGCAGGGTTCAGACCAGGAGCACCAAGAGCCCTGGTCACACCCACGCCAAGATGTGGGGAGAGCAGGCGCTGAGTGCCAGCAGCTGGCCTGCTGTGCCCCACAGCCCACACTTCTGGAAGATTCCACCCGCAGCGGGAGAAATCCAGGCCAGGGGCCCGACCAGTGTCCCTGTCTGTGCTGTACTCACAGTGGACCTTCCAGAAGACATCCGAGCACACAAGTATTTATTCCTTCATGTCCTCCCAGCAGCGTGGCTTCCGTGATGGTCCAGCCCTGCGGTGTCTGGGGAATGAAAACCCTTGAGCAACTGCGTCTGCCCACCCTGCAGCCTTTACTGTCCTAAGAGGGGCACGCAGTAGCTCCCCTCCTGTGGGCTCGTTGTTCCCTGTCAGGGTTGGCCTGAAGGGCTCTGTGCCAAGCACCCCCAGTGCCGGGCAGGACCAGTCCTATTACTGGCTCACCCCTGGGCTGGAACCACTCCCAGCTGTCTGCTCCTGAAGCAGAGCTGTGCCAAACTCGCCTGCCCAGGAAGCAGCGACATGTTTCTGATTGTCGCCTGTGGAGTTTGCAATGCCTTTGACTTGTGGCCTGGGGGGCTTCGTGGCCTGCCTGCTCCCACCCAGTTTCTGTTAACCGTTCTGCGGGATGCCAGCAGGCACTTGACGAGCACCCTGGTTTTGTAAGAAGGGAGTTTATCATCAGTTCTTGCCCCTCCTCAGCTGTGTCCCAGCTGTGCCTCCCCTCCTGTCCATCACTTCCGGATTTGGGCAGGAGGCGCCCCACCCTGCATGCTTCGAGGGGCACCCCCCTCCTGGACACTTTCCGTCCAGGGCTCTCCCTTTGCAGCTGATTTGAATGTACATTTCCTTTTCTATTTATTTGCACATTAAAGTTAAAAATTAAATATTGATGGAAAGCCAAGCAGCTGTGCCTGGCACTTTGTGAGGGGACGCCCCGAGGGTTGTGAGCGCCATAGTCCCCAGCCGCTCGTAGGTGGCAGGGAGGGCCTGTGTGAGGAAAGCAGCACTTCTTCCCTCCGCCTCAGATGGCAGAACCAGGCTGCCCCACAGTGGCCTTGCCCAGGTCCTTTCTACTGCCTCCCACCTGTGCAGGAGCAGGCACACCCCCTGCACATGTGGGGAGCCTTGGGAGTGTTTTCTAGAACATTCCTGCTGTAGAGCAGGCCCGGGATCTTTCCACCTGGGTGTTGACTGGGTCCTGGTTTACCTCTTAGCAGAGCATACCCCCAGCATCAGCCGTTTGTGACCACCTGTCCCTCGATGTCCCCTGCCAACGCCTAGAACCTCCTATCTCCTTTTTATGCCCCCACCCCCATGCTGGTGGGGGGGGTACCGCATCATCCCCCAGGTGCCTTATCTTTCACCATCTGCTCAGACAACTCCCAGGGACCCGGCATCCTATAGTACCCACATCTGCTCTGTCCCTGGCAGCATCCACCTCTTGGCACATGGCACCAGAAGGGACAGGCAAGTCTCTCGGGGAAGTTCCAAGGCCCAGGGGCAGGTGAGGGGTGAGTCAGGGCTGATGTGGCCAACAGGACTCTTTAAGAGGCCCCCAGGATTCCTGCCCCGAGACCTTCCAAGCTGCTTCAAAGTAGGGCTGTGGGGCCTTAGCAACCACCTACCCCACAAAGGCAGGCCTGACAGCAAGGGGGCCCTGAGTCTGCCCCTCGCAGGACCCGATTCCACCAGCTGCATAGAGTGAGGCTGACACTTTGGCTGCAACCTGGAATCCTGAGCTGGCCCTGGAAAATGACAAAGACAGGCCAGAGCCTGAGCAGAGGGCCCAGTTGAACCTCACCAGGACCCCTGATCACAGAAACATCAAGATAACAAGAGGCATTGCCCTACACCACTCAAGCGTGGGAAGTCATAGATCTAGGTACCACTGAATCATCTCCAACCCTATGCGTATTAAAGAACTGCTCCCGAGAATGTTCAATAGCTGAGTTTTTGGATGTCAATTGCCAGGCCTTTCTTCTGAGGCACCTCTTGGTAAACGTGACCCTTTTCATCAGTGATTTTGCTCACCGTTCCTACCCCCAAGGATTCCTACCAGTTGCTGTCGATCCAGCTCATAATAGGAATCTCAGCAACAGGAAAGAACAGCCCTCTGCCCTTCCACCCACACCTTCCCTTCCAGCTGGGTTAGGGGTGAGGTCTCAGCCCCAGCCTCCTCCTGTTCTACAACTTCAAGGTTGGGGACCACATTAGGACCCCCAATCCTGTGCACAGCAGAGGGGCACACCCCTTCCCAAGAGTGTGTAGCCACCTATGGGAAGCGGGGATAATGGTGGTGGACCACTCACTGGGCCTGATATTAGTGATGGAATTTTCAAGAAGTCATCTGAGCAGGTGGCAGGCTGTGGTGCTGTGGCTTGGGGTCCCAGCCAGGCGGTAGTGGTGGCACGGGTTCTGAGCCCTGGAGGTCAGAAGGGCACAGACTCTGGAAAGGAACATGACAGGCCAAACTTCCAGTGACCAACTGTCCCCCAGCCCTGCTGAAACTGGTTTAAGTCTTTTCTATGGGAGGTCGAGGTGACAACCTGAAGCCCCCCCTAGACTCATTTTCAGTGGCTCCAGGCGCGAGGCATGGTGGCCGCACACTGCGGGTCCCCATCAGCTTGAACACATCAGCTTGCGGTTCCCACAGTGACACTAGGGGGGCCTCCGTGGGCTTTCTCCAGGAGGCAGAAGGGCCAGGGGATTGGGTTTTTAGGACCCTGGTGTTAGAAAAGGGTCAGAGATAGGCCAAGGGTGCCATAGAAGGTGGACGGGACTGGGGACGGGGCATTAGGGCGGAGCCTGCGTCGTGGAGGAGGAGCCTTGGGGGCGGGGCTTGCTTCAGGGGCGGAGACGAAAGGAGGGCAGAGTGGCCTTGGGAGGGGCTAGAGTGACGCGCAGTTTTGGAAGGTGGCCTCGTAGCAAGAAGTTGTTCTGCAATTTCAAAGGCTTGCTGTTCGAGGCCACCAGCCGCTCCGCGGGAAAATTGTGACCATCCTTCCGTGTGATTAACTGCCTCTGAAAACCCGCCGAAAGGTCAGCTATGAATCGGTTCCGACTCGATGGTGGTGGTTGTTGTTTAATGCCGTCGAGTCGCACTGGTCTGTGCGTTGCTGTACAGAGGGGTAACTCGTGGTTGCTGTGATGCTGAAGCCTGTGACAGTGATGTGCCAGTCGTGGTAATGGGCACCCATGGTGGACAGTGTTGGCTGGAGCTTCCCGACTAAATCAAGCCTGGAAGCAGGAGCGGCATCCACTTCCAAAATCGGCTTGCCTCCGGAAACTCTATGTACGAACAGTGCTCAGGCTGTTAGTTCATAGGGTCGCTATGAGTCGTCTACAACTCGACGGCATTAAACAACAATAACAATGACGGCGACCAAGAGAGACTCGATGGTACTCAACAAAAATAGCGGGAAAAGGGGTAGGAGGCTGAGAAGCAGTGAACCCAGAACAAGCTGCTAAACCCATCTATTTGCCAACTTATTTTTGTTCTTCAATGTATTTTCATGGAAGAGTGGTATGGGCTGAATTGTGTCCTCAAAAGGATAGATTTAAGCCATAACCCAGGACCTAAGAACCTGACCTTATTTGGAAATCTGGTCCTAACAGCTGTCATCATTAATCATAATTGACGGGGTTGTCGTGGAGTCCGGGGGAACCCTAAATCCAATGGCTGGTGTTCTGATATGAAGGGCATTTGGACACGGACAAGCACACACAAGGAAGAAGCGAAGGGGTTGGAAGCAGAGGGGAGCAATGCGGCCACAGACCCCCTGAAGCTGCGAGAGTAAAGGAAGAGGTCCCCCTCCCTGAGGCTGCAGGCTGAGGTCCAGGTGACCTTGATTGTGGACTTCTGGTCTCCAGACCTGAGGACTTGAACGTCTTGTGTTTTAAGCCCCAGTGTGTAGTTCACTCCAGGAGTATGTATCACTGGCAGTTCAGGAAACCTAGCAGCACAGATAGGTAGGTCCAGGGAGAGGCAGCCTCCTCTCAGGCAGCCTCACCGGATACCTGGCATCCCACATGCCATCCAAGAGGGACCTCCTAGTCCTGGGGTCTCTGTATCTTCCCTGCCATGTCGGCCCCCCTCTACCATGGCCTAGTGTCATCTCCAAAGGGGTCTGTGCAGTTACTGCTGCAGAGATAGCCTCCTCCCCTGGACATCCAGGGTAAGTCCCCAGACCCCAAATCCCTGAGTCAGGTGGTGGCAACTCCCGCCATCACTGAAGCAGGCAGGGGGCTCTTCTCTGAGTGTCTGGTTACATGTGTCTACAAGATGGGGACGTACACTGAGCTTGTCACTGGAGTGAATGCAGATGGCTCAGTCCCATGACTTCTCTGGCCACCGTCCTCAGAGCTGGGGACAGGGCCTTCTGTCTCCACCTGGACCAGCGTGGGTGGCCGCCACACTAGAAACTGTCCAGGACTTTGCTTTGTCACTTCCTGACTTGTCTCCCCATGCCCAGCTGTGTGACTAGATTAAAGCTGCTTTCAGAGGGAGCAACTATGGCTGAACAGAGCCCATGGTCACAGACCAGGCCTTCTGCAACAAGCCGGCCACAGCCACAGGCACTAACAAGGCAGAGGGAGGTAGCCAGGGCAGCTGTGAGCAGGATGGAGACATGGCTCCTGCCCTCAGAGGCCACCATCCCCAGGTAACACATGCCATGTCCTCTCAGAGCCTCACTGCCAGGGCAGGAAGACCCCGGTGAGGGATGTGGTGGCCCCAGGATGAAGGGGTTAGTGTTTGGCTGCAAACCGTTCCACAATACTAGAACTGGAATTAGCACAGGGGTTTCAAGAGCCAGGGTCTCCCAGACCCCAATACAGTGTCAGTGACTAGCTAAGAACCCAGACCTCTTACTTTACTCTCCTCAGCCAACCCCAGACTCATCAGCAAACTCCCACCCCACAAGCCTGTACTGCCCTTTCCCCAAGGCCTAGAAGATAGTGCTGGACAGAACTGAGGTCCGCACAGAGGACGGGGTGCTCTGGGCATCCTGTCCCTTGACCAGCCGGGGTGGGGGATGGGAGGCTTCAGAAAGGGCTCCTGACGCAGGGTTGGGTCTGTCATGAAAACAGGAGACTTAAGTAACCAGCAGGAAGTGACCACTTGGACCACAGATGCTTCCTGGTTGGCCGAGGAGGGGGCAGGCACAGAGGTGGGGGCGGCATCCCAGAGTAAGGCCCCCCAGCTGGCTGGACCCGGTCAGGAGCCTCAGCCAGGCGGACTGACCTTGCTGGCCCAGGCCTCCTCTGAGCTGTGTCTGGTCCTCCCTTGGGCAGGATCAGGCGGGGGACAGGAAAGGGTCTTCCTGGTTTATCTTCCAGCCTCCGGGACCAGGGCAGGAAGCCGGGGTGGGGGTCCACAGGCAGGAAGCCAAGGGGCCCAGAGTGCAGAGCCCTTGAGCAGTGACATGCAGGGCCTTCTGCTGCTCGGGGCCCTGGTGCTGGGACTCAGCCTGGCTGGCGGTGCCCACACCCCCAGCATCTACGATGAGATGCATGAGGATGATGACGACGTGAGTGCAGGAGGGACCGATGGTGAGTGAGGGCAGAAAGAGGTCAAGGGAGAAGGGGGCCAGAGCCAGGGCCCAAGCCAGGGAGTCAGAGAAGGGGACCTGGGAGGCTTTTAGCCCCCTTGCTCAGCCTGGCCTTGACCCAGTGGGGCTGGGGACCTCTGCACCCTGGACCACAGCCCTCAGGGGCCCGCTAAAATACAAGGAGGTAGATGCTACTATGGGGTCCCAAGCAGGGGGGGACAGCTACAGAGCCTAGGTGGACACAGTGCTAAAGAGGGCTTCTAAGGGGACACAAGGGGGTGGCTCAGGAGTCTGGGTGGACAAAGGGACAATAATAGGGAGTGACTAGAAGAAGACACAACAGGAGATGGACAGCTGAGGGGCCCAGCACAGACACAGGGTACAGACAAGGAGTTTAAGGGAGATACAAAGGACAGACACTAGGGAGTAGCTAGAAGTGGTCATGGAGGCACCAGGAGGGCCACTGGGGGAGCCCGAGGGCATAGCAGGGCAGACACCAGGGTGTCACTAGGGGAGAGAGAAGGGATGCTTAGGACAAATGGGGCTGGGGAAATACAAACTGAGGCACCAAGAGAAGAGCTCAGAGAAAGGGACAGAATGGCTGACACTGAACTCCAAAGCAGCCTTCCAGCATCTTCGGGTTCCTGGAAGCTTCTCTTTTCCTCCCATCCGGGTTGACCTCGCTTTCCCCTTTGGCGCAGACGCAGGGATGAAACCCAGGCTCCCAACAGCAGAGGCAACCCTCGGGCCCCTGATCTGCCCACGCAGCTTCCCGGGCCTCCTCGGCTGCAACGACAGCGACACCCTGCTGCTTCCCAACAGCTCTCAGGCCCTGCTGCTGGGCTGGGTGCCCACGCGCCTGGTGCCCACGCTCTACACACTGGCTCTGGCGCTCGGCCTGCCAGCCAACGGGCTGGCGCTGTGGGTGCTGGCCACGCTGGCGCCGCGCCTGCCCTCCACGCTGCTGCTCATGAACCTGGCGGCCGCGGACCTGCTGCTGGGCTTAGCACTGCCCCCGCGCATCGCCTACCATCTGCGAGGCCAGCGCTGGCCCTTCGGCGAGGTCGCCTGCCGCCTGGCCACGACCGCACTCTACGGCCACATGTACGGCTCACTGCTGCTGCTGGCGGCGGTCGCCCTTGACCGCTACCTGGCCGTGGTGCACCCGCTGCGCGCCCGCGCCCTGCGTGGCCGGGGACTGGCCATCGGGCTGAGCGGCGCGGCCTGGGTGGCGGCCGCAGTGCTGGCGCTGCCCCTGGCGCTGCAGCAGCAGAGCTTCCGGCTGGTGGGCGCGGACCGGCGGCTGTGCCACGACGCGCTGCCGCTGGGCGCACAGCTGGCGCACTGGCGGCCCGCCTTCGCCTGCCTGGCGCTGCTCGGCTGCTTCGCGCCGCTGCTGGCCATGGCGCTGTGCTACGGGGCCATGCTGCGCGCGCTCGCCACCAGCGGCCGGCGCTACAGCCACGCGCTGCGCCTGGCCGCCCTCGTGTTGGCCTCGGCCTTGGCCTTCTTCGCGCCCAGCAACGTGCTGCTGCTGCTGCACTACTCGGACCCCGGACCGCGCGCCTGGGGTGACCTCTACGCTGCCTACGTGCCCAGCCTGGCGCTCAGCACCCTCAACAGCTGCGTGGACCCCTTCGTTTACTACTACGTGTCCGCAGAATTCCGGGACAAAGTTCGCCAGGCGCTCTGCCGATTGGCACCTGGAAACGACAGCTCGTCCTCAAAGACCTCAGGAGATGGTGCCAGGGTGGGGACTGGCACCCGTTCTACCTCACTGGTGTGACTGCCCTGCACATCGGGGAACCCTCAGACCAGCCACACCCCAGATTGGGAGGACTTCAGGCCAGCCGGACTCAGGCCAACTCTTGACCTCCCAGTCAACCTCCCCCCTCCCCGTCCCCCAGTTAAGCCTCTTCCTGAGAGCCAGGCCCCTTGGCTGCTACCAGCCCTCACCTGATTTCCTCACCTGGCCACTCAGGCTCCCAGTCACCTTATTTGGGCAGGACCCCCGGTTTGGAGCATCTTCTGAGCATTCAGAGCTATGTCCTCCAGGTGCTGGAATGTTTTGGAGGAGGACAATGATAGTGGTGGTCCAACATGAAAAAATGTAACTGATGGCCTTAAATTATAAATGTAGAAGTCGTGTGTGAATGTCTTGATGTATAGTTTCAAAATTTTTAAAAAAAGAAAAGAAACAAACTCAATCAACCAACCAGGGCCTCCTGCTGTTCCCCACAGCATCAACTCCATCTTGGGGCCCAAGGAGCCTAGTCTCCTCCGGGTGTCCAGCGTTCCAGAAACTTCATTCTCTCCAGTTAACCAAGTGGTCAGCTCTCATCTTGACATTAACTTCCCTGGACACTTGATGGGACAGGTGGGATCTGGGATTGGTGTACCTACCTCATGCTAGGACCTGCAGCTTTGTGACCCCCTCCTCATGCTCCTGTCTGCTGGTCCTTAGGACTTGGGTCATCAGAGCTGCTTGGAATACTGCAGTCAACAACATGGGACTTAGATTAGTAGAAAGGGAGGGGTCTACACACTAATAAGCCTGACATCAGAGGGCTGGGAAAGTGTAGGCCAGGGTGCCAGGGTGTCTGAAGACACACTCACACACTAGCTTACATACTCACATTCAAACCTGTTGCCATTGGCTGATTCTGACTCATGATGACCCATCTGTATACAGCTACTCCTCACCTACATGGTAAAGACCAGGTCGCTATAGAGTCAGTGTTAAGTGACATTTCAGGTGCCAAATGCACCTCAGGCTCCAGGGTCAGGGGCAGTTGATGGGACCGGCCTCTCCCCTACACTTGCCACCCACAGCAGAGTCTCCTGTATTTATGATTTCCTTCTATTTCAAACCTCACGCCCACCTGATTGGGTCTGGATTTGCCTCTAAGGCAGGGGACCATCCCTCCCCCGGCCTACAAGGGGTTCTTGCTCATTGTGGAAATTGCCACCCAATGGGGACTACCGCCCACTTGGTCCCAGAAGCCCTGAGCTTGAAAATTATGAATGAATCTCAATCTTAACAGCGAATAAGCTCTGCACACCTGTGCCCACCGGCCCTCTTTGAGAAGGTCTGTTGCCCAAACCTCCAGTTCTAACAGTGGCCCACAACAGACTCACTAGATTCTATGAATTGATGGCACGTCCGTTCAGGGTAATGGTCCAAGGTCTGGCTTCTGGCCTGTGGTTGTTATTCTGTCTCTCTCTCTCACTTTCTCATTTTCTTTGAATCCAAGCCCAGGGAGCAGGTGGGCTGTGAAGGGTATGGACTCGGAGGAGGGATTCTCACTCAGCTCTCCTGGGCCCTTGCCTGGTGTCTGAGTTATCAAGTGCAGCTGGTACTATTATAACAGATACACCACAAGGGAATGGCTTTAACAATGGCTCCCACACCTTACAGCGCGCGTGCTCTCATTAAGGTTGAGTCACAACTGATACATTGAGTGGGAGGAGATTGCTCCTCTTTCTCCCATGGAGTAGCAGATGGATTTGAACCGCCTACCTTTGAGTTGGCAACACAACGCCTTACCCACTAATCCACCAGAGCTCCCAAGACGAGGTTCTAAGTTTAACTTCTGGTTGCAGCTCAAATGAAGGCGGAATCTGTCAGCCCTGGATGAGGGTTTTTGTCTTTTCCAGCATCTGGGAGTGTGGTGTTCCCTGAAGATCTCTGGGTAGCTTGGAGGCCTATGGTGCAGGAACCTGAATCCAGAGGGTGTGCCGCATTCTGGGGCTCTTCTTAGTAATAGTGTTGGTGGTGTTGTTAAGCGCCATTGCATCAGCTCTGTGTACAGAGAATAAGTCATGGCCTGATTCTGTGCCATCCTCATAATCCTGCCTCTGCCTGAGCCCACTGCTGTGACAGCCATTGTGTCAATTTATCTCAATGAGAAACTTCTTTTTTGCTGACTCTCTAGTAAGTATTCTCACCACTGGACCAATTGGTAGCATCAGGATGGATGGCAAAGAGATTGAGGTTGTTCACAGCTTCAGTTTGCTCGGCTCCACAGTCAACACTCTTGGCACCAGCAGTCAGGAAATCAAAAAACGTATTACGATGGGAAAGTCTGCTGTTAGAGACCTCTCTAAAGTACTCAAGAGCAACAGTGTCTCTCTGGAGACTAAGGTGCGCCTGATACAGGCCATGGTCTTTGCAATCACTTGTTATGCATCAGAGAGTTGGATAATGACTAGGGAGGACAGAAGGAGAATTGATGCCTTTGAGCTGTGGTGCTGGAGAAGAGTATTATTGAATGTACCATGGACTGCCAAGAAAACAAACAGATTCATCCTGGAGAGGGTTAAACCAGGCTACTCCTTGGAGTCAAGAATTCTGGGGCTTCGTCTGACATACTTTAGACATGTTGTAAGGAGAGACAGGTCTTTAGAGAGGGACATCATGCTTGGGAGGGTGGAGGGACAGTGCAGGAGGGGAAGACCCTCTATGAGGTGGATTGATTCAGTGATTGGGGTAATCGGGATGGGCGTGTCAGAGGCAATGCGATTGGCACAGGATAGAGCAGGGTTTAGGGCTCATAGGGTCGCTATGAGTTGCAAACGACTCGACGGCATATAACAACAACTAGTAAGTATGAGATCTGTCCTTCTCCAGGGACTGTTCCTCATAATAATATGCCCAAAGTATGTTCGACGAGTATTTAGAAGAGGCCGTGGCACCAGGCTGATGTTTCTTCACATCACATTGCTGACGTCAGATGGATCCTGGCTGAAGGTAAGGAATATCAGAAGAATGTCTAGTTGTGTTTTATTGACTATGCAAAGGCATTTGACTGTGTGGATCATAACAAATTGTGACTGACATTGAGAAGAATGGGAGTCCCAGAGCACCTGATTGTGCTCATGTGAAACCTATACCTGGACCAGGAGGCCGTGGTGTGAACAGAACAGGGAAGTAGTGCATGGTTTAAAATCGAGAAGAGAGTGCATCGGAGTTGTATTCTCTCTTTATACCTATTTAATCTCTATGCTGAGTAAATTATACAAGAACCTGGACTCTGGAGAGGAGTGTGGCATCAGGATTGGAGGGAGACTCATCAAATCAATAACTTGTGTTTTGCAGATGACACAACCTTGCTTGCTGAAAGTGAGGATTTGAGGCACTTGTTGTGGAGGATCAGGGAGTGCAGCCTTCAGTGTATGGATTCCATCTCAATGTAAAGAAAACAAAGATTCTTACCACTGGACCAAGAGAGAACATCATGATGGGTGGAGAGGAGATTGAAACTGTCAACAGCTTCATCTTGCTTGGATCCACAATTAACATGCTTGGTACCAGTAGTCAGGAAATAAGGAGACACATTGCACTGGGGAAATCTGCAGTTAGGGACCTCTCCAAAGTATTGAGGAGTAATGATGTCAGTTTGAGGACTAAAGTGCATCTGATTCAGACCATAGTCTTTCTGATTACTTGCTATGCATCCAAGAGCTAGACAAAGAATTACAGAAGAATTTACACCTTTGAGCTGTGGTGTTGGAGAAGAGCGTTGAATATCTTGTGGACAGACAGGAGGACAAGAGGGTATGTTTTGAAGAGGGCGCAGCCAGAGTGCTCTTTGGAGGCAAGAATGATGAGGCTTCACCTCACGTACTTTGACCATGTTGCTAGGAGGCGCTATTCCTTGGAAAGGGACATGATGTTGGGAAGGGTGGAGGGTCAGAGAAGGATAGGAAGACCCTCAACCAGATGGATTGACATGGTGACTGCCTCAATGGGCTCTTGTGTGTCAGGAAGTGTGAGGATGGAACAAGATAGAGCAGAGCTCAGATCTGTTGTTCATATGGTCGTTATGAGTCATGCTCGACTAGACGGCACCTCACAACACCACATAATGTGAGGCGAAGTCTTACCATCCTTGCTTCTCAGAAGCATTCCAGGTGCACTTCCTTCAAGAAAGATTTGCTTAATTTTTTGGCAGTCCCTGATTTATCCCACCTTCTTTGTCAAGACCATAATTCAAAGTATCTACTCTCCTTCCATTTTCCTTATTCATTGACCAGAGTTCACATGCTTCTGAAGCACCTGAAAAGAACATGGCTTGACTCAGGAGCACCTTAGTCTTTAAACTGACACCTTTGCTCTTCAGCACTTTAAAGAGGTCCTTGTAGCAGATTGGTCCAAGGCACTACATCATTTGACTTCTTCACTGGGTGTTGGTTGTTGGGCCAAGTAAAATTAAATCCTTGACCACTTCAGTCTTGCCTTTTACCACTGTAATGTATTTGTTGGTCTGTTGTGTGTCATCGAGTGAGAACCAACCCACAGCTGATCCTCCAGCTGGTTTTCAGAGGCATTAAATCACACAGGAGGAGAATGCCCAGTGCAAGTGGCAGTGCAGCTGGTGGATTCGAACCACGTGCCATCGGGATTGCAGTTCAAGTTCTTACCACTAGGCTACCAGAACTCCCTCACCTATTTAGTCATGAGAATTTCTATTTTCTTGATAATAAGGTGTAATCCATACTGAAAATAATATACTCATTGCCATCAAGTCAGAACCAACTCCAAGCTGACCCTCCAGTAAGTTTCCAGAGGCTGTAAATCACACAGGAAGAAATTACCCGTCTTTCTCCTGAGGAGCAGTTGGCAGATTTGAACTGCTTGCCTTTGGGTTGGCAATGCAGCTCCTTGCCCACTAGTCCACGGGAGCTCATACCGAAGACTTCCTAAAATGTGAGAAAATAAATCTCTACTCTTTAACTCCAAAAAACAAAAAGTCAAACCCCAAACCCAATGGAACTGAAGGAAAG